TTTGTACATTTATTTATTAATCCATTTATTTATTCATTTAATGTGTTAATCTTATATCTTTAAATTGTTTTTTGTGAAGCTTAAGTAAATACCATATACAATAAAAGTTTTAAACCGGTTATATTTAATCATTTTATTAAGTGTGTGTATCTCATGTATTATGTATTGCAGGATTTTGGATAATTCATAATTGAATTAAGATTCATAATTTAAATTCAAATTAAATTCCTGAATTTGAAGTAAGGTAGAAAGCAGGATGCAGAATTGCAATTAGAATTTTAATGTAAGAAAGTATAATTAAAATTAGTTCAAATTAAATACATTAAGTGTAGTTAGTAAGCAGTTTGTCAAGACAACTTTGAATGTTGGCTTAACAAAGCCTTTTTTGAAGGTTTTGAAGATAGATACATTGAAGAATATTGTATGGGTGGGTAGATGCTGTAGAAATGGGTATTTAGTTGATATATTTCACTAGATTTAATGAACTTTCGACAAAGGTGGAAGAAGATTTACTATGCATTAGCTGTGCTAAAGGGATAGTTCACCGAAAATGTCTGCTGTCGTTTACAGAACTTCAAGTTGATCTAAACATGTGTAAGTTTCTTTCTTCTGATGAGCACAAAAGATGATATTTTAAAGAATGTTGGTAACCAATCTGTCACAGTTCAAGGCAGAGACACGAGATAAGAGTGCAAAAAGGATAGTTTATTGACAACAGCAGGGAAAGAAGACAGATGGCAGGTAAGTCAGATGATAATGATAGTTCTTGGGTTCTTAGCTCTAGGTAAAGGTTTGTTTGATCCTTTGCAGGAGTCCAGGGAATAGATGAGGTCGACGAGGGACAGTATCGCTGGAACACTGGAGACACTAGATGTAAGTACAAACACCAGGGGTGTAACAGGTAATGGTCTGGCATAGTTCGCCAGGGTGAACGGAAGACTGGATGGTGAGTGATTGGAAGGAGCGTGCTTTTGAAGGAGGCTTGATTGAAGATGGCAGGTGCAGGTGATCAGAACTCCAGGTGATGGTGATCGTGACTGTGAACAGGTGTGAGCCGGGAAGGATTCTGGGGTATGGAGTCCAGAGCTGGTGACTGGTGACAGATACTCCCTGACACAAACAGTTTCTGGTAGCCATTGATCAACTGTTTGGTTACCAACATTCTTCAAAATATCTTCTTCTTTTTTTGCTGAGAAAAGAAATTCATACAGGTTTGGAAAAACATGAAGGTGAGTAAATGATGACAGAACAAATTTATGCTTCTGCTTTCTAGATACTGAAATCAACCAAAACCCATATCTATCGACCACTACTGTGAACCCAAGAAGTGGACATGTGGGACCTGATCTTCAGAACAAATTCAACAAATAGCAGTAGAGACTCTGCATGTCATTCACTGTGTAAGTGACATTTACATAAAAACTGTCCAAACTCCATTCGAGTGTCCGATACATTGATTGTTGGGTATCTGATGCTGTAGTTGGGAAAACATCAGGGACTCTCCGCTGCTGATGATTAGGAGCTCTTACGCTATCCATTGATTTCTCCTCTACCCGGGGATGAGCGGTTGAGAACACAGAGCAGGGCTGATAGCTTTGTGTTTGATTTGCAGAGTCTGGAATCCATTCACATACTCGAGGGGGAACAGGACTCTATCTCAAACAAAAAGGTCTTTGGGAAAATCATGTATAGAGACAGAGAAAGGGAGACCATGAGTCATTCCTCATCTTTATCAGAAGAAAGACGATTTTATGCAAAAACCTCAGCAAGGTCTTTTTGGATTTGCTGAAAGACAGGCACGTTCCAACAAAGAAACTTCTCTCCTCATTTGGTTCCTCTGAAAGGCTATAGAAACATCTAGTAAGCGTACATCTTTATTGGAGATGGAAAACCAATCAATCTCCTATTTTACTGGGCTCAGTCACATCTCAATCGAGCTGAGGTGAAATAACTGCCTGTGCTGTATTTCAGAGCTAACGAAATACAGAAAGAACTGAACAGCCCAAAGCTCTCTTTCAGTTCTTTGTTTCTCAATCACAAACACCCACACGTTTCTTCAGACTGCTGAGCCCGTCCTTTTAATTTGGCCTGCCTGCATTCATTCCCTCTACTACGTTTTAACCAATCCATCACACATTCAATGTTTGCATGTGCACAGGATGTACGCATTAGAGCTGAGTTCCGTTGGATAGGAGTGTACGGTGTTTGGAAGGTTCTCAGAGACGCCAGAACGAGGGGCGTACAGAAAGTAGAAGAGCGTTGTCTTGCTCGAAGTTGGCAATTACACACCGCACAGTGTCCCTTGGGGGGCCCGGGTGCACTCTGTCTGGAGGCCTGTGTTAGCGTCGCACAATACAGATGTGTGGGCAGATGCCATCTGGGACTCGGAGAACAAAACCGAGTGTGGGGGCGCCGTTCAGGGAATTCAGTCAGGAGACCCGAGAATCCAGAAAGAGAATGGAAAATGATCTGATGGTAATCAATCAAAAAAACTGTGACACAAATGACCAAACACAACGGCCCAGAGCAAAGCCTCGCACAAACACACCCCTGCCTGTGGCAACTCCCCGCCCACCAGCCATAACGCGATCAATAGGCCTTCGCCAATATATAAGCAGAAGTGATTGGCCGAGACCGCTAAAAGCGAACCACCTCCTCCTCGGCTAATTGCGCCTTTATGATTGCGCAGTCTTTCGTGCAGATCGAGAAAATAAAACGCCATTCTCTTCGTCAACTGAGTGACAATCGATGTTGGGTGCCCATCTCGGAACGCCAGATGCTCCTCCCGACTTCATTATGCTGGCCGACATGGTTTCGCCGGAGCAACGGCGTCGCCACAAAGCGTTTCGATCGTGGCCCTAGAGACAAAGTCCCGGACGTCACCTGCTCCTCAGCCTAATGCTATTAAAAACGAGAGATCCCAGAGAGGCCCCAAATGTATATGGAAAAGAACAAAAACGTAGCTCCTCTGGCCTATACATAAACAGGAAACGCTAGCTGTGGTCAGACGGATCTTGAATCTTAAAGTCTGAGAAGGCGGCGGAACATGTTTCAAGTCTTCATCCAATCCACTGAGGCCAACTTTCAACCAGCAGCTTTCAACCAAACACATTCTTTACTGTGAGCACTTGACTAAAAGTGCATTTCTTTTTTACCATCTGGCACTTACCATGAATAGGGTATAAAACGGGGCCTGAAACTGAAAAGTTTAGTTTTTTTCTCAACAAATGTTAAGTGAAGGAGGTTCCTTCAGAAAATGTTGAACATTAACCTGTAAATTTAGTTTTTAGAAACATTTAGTAAGCTTACACCTTCTATCAGAAATTAAAAACCAATCCTACAATAATACGATTCATACAATAAACATTAAATAAATATAAAAAAATTAATTGAATGTATGAATTAAATAAAAACTACACCAGAATAGTTAAGTGGGTTGTAAATATAACATAAATTGAGGTTTTGGTGTTAACGCTATGCTATATAATAAGTATCAAACCGATCCGATAATGAGAAAAATACAGGGAATTTGTCTATAATGCTTTCAGAAAGTCATGTGACGCCAAAGAGTGCCTGTTTTTTCTCACATTTGGTAAGTCACTGTAGTTATATCATGCAATAATTATTAGTTATTTAAGCAAAACACTATATCTAGCTTTATTCTAGCCATGAACATTTATCTTTAGAGACACAACAATGAAGTGTTGCTACAACTGTTAATGTTGAAGTATAAAAATGGCCTTGTCTCTTTCAGATCCATCAGCCTCGAGGGCGGTACCCAATAACTGAAGTCAAGTTACTCTCCCTTGCAGCCCATCCATATGCAAACACACAGTTGTCAAAGTTGTCAGCACACAGTGAGCCCCGCTCCCTGTTACAGGATGTGGATTGGCTCATCGGGAGGGCGCATGCAATAAGTCAGTGCAAAGCGTGAAGCTATATCGACGCATCTGCTGCTATTGATGGAATTCAACGGTGGAAAAGACGCGTTTGGTGCGCAACTCTGGTTGTGGGCGTCGTGAAACGATTGATTGACAGGGGCAGGAGAGGTCATGAAGTGTAGGCGTCCAGTTGATAAAAGCACAAAGGGTCTCATCCTAACATTTAATAACTTTTAGTTTTTGCAGCAGCAAATAGTACACAAAACCGGTCTGAACAATTATTTCACGAATCTAACTCAATTGGCCCGGTTCTCGTTAGGACATGATAGACATAACTAATAATAAAGCTTATATGCTAAGTCAAGAAAAAAATAATAAATAAATAAATATATATATATACGGCAATATGTTTTGAACTTATGTAATTGGTCAAATAATTGCTGAATCGGTTTTTTTTTTAATCCTATTGAAAGGAATTGCAAAAATGAGTCGGACTTGTATCTACTGAAACCGTAGAACTAAAGCACTGCAGTTTAAATCAGGATGCAGTTCAAAAAGTGGTTTCCCATTCTCTTATATTTTATGATTGTTAATGTTTGAATAATAATTGCTGGAGTACTCCGTTACCCATGAATAAATTGTCTGTTTGCTGTAATAGAAGAATTTACACACGACCTAGCAAGTTTAGAAACTCGGCTTTTGATTGAGTGTTGTGGATAAGAGATAGGCTTAATTGCAAACACTAGACGGCGCACTTGCTCTTCCACTATTTGGCTGGTTAGCTTAACTTTAATGACTTGCACGCTCCATACAGACTTATGACGTATACTGTTATAATAATTATGATTACGGTATTTCAAATATATTATGTTCTGTATGTAAAATTTTAACAGCAGCCGATCTCTCTTCTCCTTCTTTCTCGCGCGTTCTTTCACACGCGCACTCTGCATTATCTCACACACACACGGACACACGTGAGCGTGGGTTTTTACGATACGCAAAAGACAGAAAGAAGAAATACTTTTTTTATACTTACACAATTCTTCATTTACCATATACCTGAAAAATGGGCTGGCTATTTATCCGAATGGACAGACTGTTGACTTTCGGTGTCTCGCTGTGACAGGCGCGTCAGGCAGTAAAGATCCGCCCCTCGGCGGTGTTCAGCTGCGCTCTGTGCATCACTCTCAAACGCTAATTCCACCGGGACAGACGCAACTTCGGTCCGTGCGCGGAGCGGAGGAGACGCACACGAAATGACACAAATGGCTGCGCTTGTGTTCACAACGACTTTTGCGCTAATAATCTGGATACCGACTTTCGCATTAACCGCACGGGTCTACCCTCCTAATGAAGGTAAGGGTTTACCAAACCAAGGGAACATCTCTCCAAGAGTTATGTTTTGTTGTTTGGGTTACGACATGGGACGGTATAGAGTGGCACAGTGTATGACTGCCATCTGTTTTTGTCTTGTTTTTTATTTTTATTTTGAGACTTTATCCCGTCAGCGAAAAGGAATTATATAATTTTCTCCGAAAGTCCCTTTGGGGATCTCCAAGTGTCTTGTGGTTCCCAAATCCGCAGATCTAGTGGAAGACTGAGGCGGGGTTTTTTTTGTCCAACGAAGTTTAAACTCGGACTCTATTGGGAGTAAACACTCTGGTTCAACCGATTTCTAATTTTATTGAAACCTATGTTTTCCCGCACATATATTTATTTATTCATTCACATTTCATTAAATGTGCATGGGTGACCAGTTCGCGATTTATAATTTCCTTGGAGTGTTTTCACAAACGAAATTTACGAAATCCAAAACGCGCACGAGACATAGGCCTATACAGTAGCCTGTAATATAGACTTAGAGTCTCAATCAAATTCTCGTAAATGGCGCATTACACTGCACACTTTTAATTTTAATTATACTAAGGCTTTGTTGTGGTATTAAATATACCACAAACGCAAATTTGAATGTGAGTGTATAATATATATATATGTATGTGTGTGTGTGTGTGTGTGTGTGTGTGTGTGTGTCTGTGTGTCAAATTTGCATGCATTTATTGCGTCTGTCGTCTGCTCATTTTAAATTCTGAAACCCTTAAAACATGTGAACACAAGCCTTTTATGTATTCTTTGCATGTTCATTGCGCTGATTATTTTCCTCTCTCAAAGGACCTAATTTTGATTGGACAATAGCCATCTTAGAATACTGATTAAAACAATACATAATTGTGCTCAAATAAAAAATATTCATTTGTGTTATTTAACCAAATCCAATAAATAGATTTATGAGCATAAATCGGTGTACATTGAGGAAATGGAGAGTATAATAACTTTGTGCGGTTGGGAACAAATGCGTATCAACAAAAACAAGTTGTGACTTAAGAGGTAGTTTGATCTAGTCATAAGGAGGTTGATGATCCATCTTAAGAGACTCATGGCATTTTGTCTTCCTGCAGTGACGCTGCTGGACTCGAGAACTGTGCAAGGAGAATTGAAATGGGTTGCGAGTCCGACGGAAGGAGGGGTGAGTCTACAAAGAACAGACAATGTTGCTTTTACTTTTATATTTGTGTGGATAAATCTCTATCTGCAACTCTTGAAGGTCTTTATTGTCTTGGAAATCATATTTGCACATGAAAAAGCAGACTAGAGAAATAAAATAACCTTTTTTTTTTGTTAGCACAGCAGATTTGCTGTTCCACACTGCATATAAGAAGGTACGGGATCTAACTAAGGCCTCATGTTGTGCCAAATCCCCACTAAAAAAAAATGATGGAAAATGGCTTAAGAGGCATCACACTGTATGCAATCAGTATTTTCTGCATTAGTGCATAGATGAAGCACAAAAGACTAATTAAACCTATACAAACATCCATAATTATAAATCCTGACAGATGAAATGGCTTTGTTCTTATAATTTGATGTTTCATAGACTGAGAAACGACTTGAGTTTAAGTGCTTGTGCTCAGGGTAATTCATTTAGAAATGTTATGCTTCATAATTATAATGATCCTTTCTGTACATCATTTATGGGTTGGCATCTTAAAATTCAAGAATTTTCTAGTGCTTGGTGTACTGTACTTTGTATATGCGACAATGAAGCTTGTCACAGATAGGCTGTGTACAGTATTAAGGCTATGTGCCGTTTAAGAATTTAAGTGTTAAGTGCTATTTACCTCATGTTAATTACACACACATTATGCAATTTATATAAAAAAGGTTTTGTTTAACTTTTTGGCCACACTTGACACTAATATTCATACTTGATTATAATTATTATGCAGTTATAGCAATTAAATGTGTAATTAGCTTAAGCAACTTGTATTTAGTCAGTATTATTTTTAGTGTTATTGTGATTAATTGTATTATGTAGTAGGTGTAAAATGGATGTTTTAACCAACAATTTTTTAATATTTGTCAAAAATAGCATACATCAGTATATAACGTTAACAAAAATGTAATTTTTTCAAATGTTTCTTTTGAAATATCTAAATTGATCTGCTTGAGCATGCGTGAAGTTATTTATCAGTGATTTGATTGATTACGCCACAATTAGGCTTCCTTGTTGTCTCCGTTCCACTTTGGTTGGTTTCGGGGTTAATGGTGAACTTGGCATTTGAGGAAATGTGGTCCTCCCACCCTCTGCTGCTTTATTTCATCGACCCCTTTGATTGACAGGGTCCCGACAGAGCCCCCTCCCTCGCACAAACAGGCCAAATGTACAGCTTTATCGGTGTGACAGCTGGGATTTCTACACTTACGACTTACAAAGAGTAAAAAAGCGAGAAGAAAAGACAGCGTCATAGATCGTGACAGGCCTTTTCAAAACTCTCCTTCATTGCGAACGTCTCATTTGAAACTCTCACCAGCAGGAAGCATCAAACTCTAGGCCCCATAGTTTTACAATGGCTTAATATGGGATTAATGGTGACCAGAAAGTCAGGGCGTTCTTGTAAATGTTGCTGGGCATTGTATTTGTTTGGTTTATGTGCTAGGGTGTTTGCAATGGTGTATTATTAGTGAAAAACGTATTTTTACCTTAGTTTCAAGGTTTTTAAACTAACATCTTTCCTTGTCTCTTTAATTTTTGGAGCAACACATGCACATACGTGCACAGAATCTGACAGATGTGTGATTAAATTCTCATTATCATATCGTAATCAATGAAATCATTGCATCATTGCAGCTGTTTGTCTGTGGAACATCTCCAGCACCGAGACTGGAATTGTGTGCACCTGCTGTGACAAAAGTCTCCCCAGTAGAATTTCTATAGGCCTACTTACCTCTCTGTCTTTCTCGTCATCTCTCTCACAGTGGGAGGAAGTGAGCATCATGGATGAGAAGAATACGCCAATCAGGACGTACCAGGTATGCAACGTAATGGAACCCAACCAGAACAACTGGCTCCGAACAGACTGGATCCCCCGTGGCGGAGCTCAGCGTGTCTACATCGAGATCAAATTCACTCTGCGTGACTGCAACAGCTTGCCAGGAGTCATGGGTACCTGCAAGGAGACCTTTAACCTCTACTACTACGAGTCCAACAATGACAAAGAGCGGTACATTCGAGAGAACCAGTTCACCAAAATCGACACCATTGCGGCTGACGAGAGCTTCACGCAGGTGGACATAGGAGACCGCATCATGAAGCTGAACACGGAAGTGCGGGATGTGGGAATTTTGACACGGAAGGGCTTCTACCTGGCATTCCAGGATGTGGGAGCCTGCATCGCTCTGGTATCCGTACGGATCTTCTATAAGAAATGCCCCCTCACCGTACGCAACCTGGCCCAGTTTCCAGACACCACCACCGGGGCGGACACCTCATCGCTAGTGGAGGTACGTGGATCCTGTGTGGACAATTCAGAGGAACGTGAGGTCCCTAAAATGTACTGCGGCGCAGATGGAGAATGGCTGGTGCCTATTGGAAACTGTTTGTGTAACCCTGGCTATGAGGAACACGGAGGAACATGCCAAGGTAAGAGCTCAGATAACTCCCTCGCTCCATTTTTTCCAACAGAGCGTTTCACCAGTCGAGATTTACGCACCTCCCACACGGAAGTAAAAAAATACCCTGATCGCCCATCAGTGATACATTATATAATTTAAGATGAGATCATTATAAGAGAAGCTGACCCGGATGAACTTTTTCCCCCTCAGGGATGTGAGAGTTTACTCAGATGTAGACAGCTGGGTACTCGGAGGATCACTGTGGATTAAGCCAGTGTTGCTATTCGAGAGGTCTGGTTATGATTATGAATTGCCCTGTTTGATATCAAAACACCTCCCAGTGGATTTGTGCATGAGAAACGTTAGCACTAATTATTTTGTTGGAGCAACAGCCGTATGGTTTATGAGCAGAATCCGCTTAATTAGATCATGGGCCAAGGCTCTCGTACCCTTTTCGCTCTCATTCTCCTTTGCTATCTCTCAAGAGCATGTGCGATGGTTTTCAGTTCACATTAAAGGGAATAGACGGGATTGGCAAAACACTGAAAAAGCAGGAGTGATAAAAGAAGAAAAGGAGAGGATCAGATAGATTGCTTCTGTCACCAGAGGGCCGTTTCTCTTTCTCCATGCCGGCTTTGATTCCCAGTGTCCGTAGTCAGGCCATACGACATTAAAAAAGCGGTGATATACTGTTTGGGGTAATGCTGAGGTCAGTGCAGGCAAAAAGGAAGAGCCAGAGGACATGTAGACAGTTTGTGCACGCCCTTTCTTTCTTTTCTGTCTGGTCCAGAAGAGGGTCATCGCTTGAGCAGGGTGATAAACGGCCGACTGGCCACTCTAACGGCCTTTATTTATGAGTGCTATCTCAGCGGGCTAATTGCATGACAAATACGGGCTGTAATTTAGGGCTCCTGCGGGCTCAGGGGGGACAGTCGGCATTCACCACACTGCTTGTGTGGGTGGTTGAAGGGGGTACACTGGGAAAGACCATTCTCAGAGATCTGGCCGTTTTTCTTGGCCACTGTTTTATTAGCGGAGCTCGCTGGCAGCGGCTGGGTTCCCCACTCACTCCTTAGCTTTCCTTCTGTCTCCCTCTGCTCTCTTTTACCGTTCAGATATGTTGAAATGAAGGAAAGAGGCTGTAATTTACTGAGAGCAGAACGGCGTTTCCACACAGACATTTGGTGGAACATTTTACTTAAATCACTTCAGGGCTTGCAATGATGATTTCATTACTCCGAGATATTTGGAAGAGGGCGTTTTGTAATATTTCTGTTGTTTGGCATCAGCAAAAGTTTTCAGGTTTCATTTCCCATCTCACACATCAATTAAAAAAAAAAACTCAAATCCCATAAGCTGGTATGTAGAGGATAATTTGTTTAATTTCTGGGTACTTGTCTGCACAGGACTGAAATATAAGGATAGCCTGCTGGCCAAGAGTTTCAGATTAGTTGAACAAAACAGTCACTCATTGCTCTTTCAGGCCAATTTGACATTTATTGATCTTGCATGTCTGTTTTAATACCTTGTATATACAATTTAGAATTTAATGAAAAAATATATAGAAAATACTAAAAATGTATTGCCAAAAATACTGACCAGCAGAAAATAAAAGTGAAAATTTCACCAATGTGAAAAAGGACCAACAAAAACAAATCGCAATTCATAAAGTATTTCATAGCCAAATTCCAGATTTCAGTAAACATCCTGGGTTCCTTTTTTATATATCCTTAAGCTTGAGCCTGTCATCAATAGCTGATTAAGCCATCACATGCTGTCTTCAGCAAGGCAACAGGCAGTTGTTTCCTCATTGAAGCGGGTTCAAAGGGTGGCTTTCTCTCCCAGCATGCAGATACGAGTCACTGTCAGTTTAATAAGTCTGTGTGTGCAGCCCAGGCCAGGGGAGGGATGCAGAGGTTCACCTTCAATGTGAGGGTGTAGGAGAGGGCGAGAACTTTCTCAATAGGGCGTCCCGAGGACCTTATGAAAAAAGCTCATTGAAGATAAGGGATACAAGCCCTCATACCCCAGAAGGCCTCAATGGGAGCCTCTCCCCAATTGTTGGGATGTCGTGATCGGGCATGGGGGCGAATGGGGAGGAACACTAGACAGGGTCAGGGGTGACCCCTGGCTTTATCCTCCTCTCCTCCCCGAGAGACGGGGGTCATGGCCGAGATTTATTAAGACGTCAAAATGTTGACAGCTGCAGCCTAGACGGACAGGTCCAAGAACAGAAGAGCGAGAGAAGACCACAAAACAGCCGCCATTCGGTTGGTGAATGGAGCGGAGACTTGGCCAGAGGATTTGGTGTCTTTTATTCTTTATAAGAGTTTGTTGTTTTCTCACTGCTCATCTGCTGTGTTGAGTAGGAGGTGAGGACAGAGAGGAAATCTCTGCTTGTTAGTGGGCGTCCGGCGAGCTGGAGATGTGTAAAAGCCCGCTGAGGTGCTAGGCTGCAATGGAGAATGACAGCCCACTCTCAGTGATTCACTACACTGTAGACGTAGTTTAGTGAAACATCACGACAACATGGAGAAAAATCCAACCAACTCGAGTGAGTTTTAGCTTTTTTGACTAATACACCCTAACAAAAAAGTACTATGGTATTACTGCAAAAATATATCCTCATGATAGTATATTGTAAACATAGTAGTACCCTGGTACTACTTGTCAAAATGTCCAAAAAACATGATAGCACCATGGTAATTTTTGTTACTTTTGTAATATTTACATGGTATTTTACACATGTACCATAGTATCATGGAAGTAACATAGTAAATTAATTTTTGCACCATGGTATATGTCAAAGCCACCGCACCACAGTAGTACCACCACAGTAGGAAATGGAAAATGTCCAAAAAACATAGAAATACCATGTGTAATAAATTATGGTACTACCATGATACTTTTTGGTATGTGATACTATGGTGTTTTTGATGTACCATGCAATACAAGTGTGATAATCTATATCAAATTACCATCTGATACATCATTCAACCATGGTGCTGCCACATTATTTTTTAATGGGTGCTAATGTAAAACAGCTCACGCATATTTAAGTAATTAGAAAGGATAAAGGGTTTGAAAACTAGAGCATGATGGGAAGGTGTGATAATATGAAACACTGCTCTTTGAATCAGAACAGACAGCGGCTTGTGTAACTGGAAGGAAAACGATGCTTGACAAGACATTATTTATGTATGGAAGATGAGATAGACTCTCAAGAGAATGGCGTTTGTATCGACTTTACCGAGCAAAAGTACATTTTAGCTTTAATCACACATTAAGCAAATTGGTGTACTTGAGGAGAGGTATTGATCTGGTTCTCATGTGTTATTGTTGAGGTACAGCTTTTTTCCCAGTGTAAACTTTGCACCTTAGCACCTGTTTGTGTGCCTAATTGGAAAAAGTTTGCATGTGTATCTCATTGCTGTCATAATTATGAGCAGGTGTATGAGTCTCATCATCCTCAGCTGTGAGTCGTTTTTGCTCTTTTCTTTGTTAAACAATAGTCGCCGCCTGCCAAAATGCTCTTACCTATGAATATTCATCACTTCCTTTTTGCTTTTGATGGCAAGCACATATGTTGATTCCTGTCACAATCCTCCTCATTTCTCCCCTATGAGCCCCTCCATCGTCCCCTGAATGGACTGTCAGCTGTCCCAGGAAAGAGAGATAGAGAGAGAGATGGAGAGAGGTGCCCTTTGATATCAAACAAATACATTATTTGCATATTTCGTCCGTGAAATGCAAAGCCAGCAAACTTGTCTCTCAAAGACAATGGGCGGCTCGTCCTTTCAGCGAGAGGGAGCGAAGGTTGGGTCCATCCTCTTCGCTCTGTGATCATAGCAGCGTGCTGTATACGTTTGAAATAATTTGGATAATATGATTCGCGTGATTAAATCCAAATCTTTTGAATCGGCCATGTCAGACGTTTGCATTTCGCATGCAGAGTTCAGATGCTCCGGTCTATCTGCGTCACTCTCTTGCTGTCTGTATGTGTGCAATTGCTTGCTCATGTGTGTGTTGTTCTCCTTGACCTCTTCCTGTCTATCATCATCCGGTGCTCCCATACGGAAGCTCCCTTGACAGCACGCAGCCCTTCAGTTGTCATGTTGTGATGGATGCACCGGGGGCGGAAAACGGCCTGAAGGACAGAACTGGTGGGAAGGGTGAGAGATGGAGGTGACTGTCCCACTCCTAACAGACTGTTAGCATTCATGCTAATACAGTTTAGGTCATATATGAGGTGACCAATGCCCTTTTTAACATTCATTCAAATGTTATTTGATATCACAGCATTCAAAGTACCACGGTATTACCTTCTGATGTAATAGCTGTACCTCTGTAACATCATAGTAATTTCTGCATTCTTATATTTTAAGCTTAATGTGAGTATTTGAACAAAACGCATAAATTCACAGCATTTCTCAGCAGAGACTGTTGAAACTTATGGAACGATATTCCGGACAATTTTCAAATAGAATAGCACTGTTTTACTAATGCAGATTAGCCAAACTGTTTGCACCCATGCTAATGCTATTTTAGGACTGAGATTAGGTGACAAATGTACAGCTTATGAGGGAAAATGTGGTATTACCATGGTTCGCTTTGAAGTACCTTGTAAATTAGGGTGACAAGATGCTGTTTCTAGGAACCTGTCCTCAGAAATGTCTGCATCTTACTTTGAGTTTAAGTGGTGTTTGAATACACTAATCATTCAGAACAATAGTAGACATCAAAATACCATAGTTTTCTGATACCATCATTGTACATTTTTGTTAGGTAACATTTCTGGATATTTTCTCTTAATCTTGATATTGTATTATCATTGATAAATTCACAGGCTGCTAAAAACTACACACTAATGTGAACTAGCCAAACTGTTTGCGCCTATGCTGTTGTCTGTGTTTTCCAGGAATTTGGCTGTCCCCAATTTGTTCAAATAGTAACTGTTCAATACCATGGTATATATCAAAATACCATAGCATGATACCATCTTTTTTCTAAGGCAAAATGTCTGAAAAA